TTCATTTATTTATCAGCAAAATGTAACACAAATATATATATATATTTGTGTTACATTTTGCTGATAAATAAATGAAGGGAGTAGTATAGATCTATTTCAAGCTATTTAGCTCTCATCAGTTACCCATACCCTTACTGGGATTCGAACCTGGGCTGTTTTTACATATTAGGCAGTTATATTAACCTCTAAGCCACAAGCTCTCCTCCCTTATCAGCTGACCCAAGGAAATGATTGTTATGTCAAAGCACCTGGTATGCTCAAATATGGAGGGAGGCGGTATGCTCCTTCCCATATTTGGGCATACCAGGTGCTGTGACATGTCTGTCTGTATCATTGGCTTATATAATGACTTGATCATGTTTTTCCAGCCATTGCAGTGCCTGGTTAAATATATATAGCTGGGAAATGACTATTTCAATGACAATTAAAGATTTAAAAATCTTATAAAAAACAAGTAAACAGTGAGTAAAGGTGCCTAACCTATTTCTGTAGGCCTGATTGTAATGTTCTTTGTTGTCACACAGCTTCCATGGGAATAATTAGCTGTTACCCATATAGTCACATAATAATCTTTATGCACATATAACCGGGGTCTATTGAAAGGAGATGAAACCTTTTCTAACTTCTCACAACAGTTGGAAAAAGTCCTGTAAGGAAAAAGAAAACAAAAAAAACATGTTTTAATCATATGTTTCTGGCTATAATATCAGATGCACCCAGGCCATTACTGCACATGTTACACTTCTCCATGTAGAAAGTTTCAGCAACTTTTCCCTCTCCCTAAATCCCTCTTTGATGGACAAGTTGCCCAGATATTGAAGTTTCAACTTACTAGCATTTTGGATTTCAAACATCAGGAATACTTGGAGTTTATTTCATTTGTTCATAGAATTGCTTTAGGATTTTGATTTTTGTTTGTTTATATAGAATTGCTGGTTGCTTCATTTATTTATTATTTATTGCCTATCTCACTATCTGGGCAGTACAATACAGTAAAATAAATGTAGACATATTTATTTTTTAAATAATCAGATATGGAGGTGGAACCTTCTCTATTACTCCAGCCTTCTCCAGCATAAAGCACCCCCATCGGGGCCTTAGGATATACTCTAAGAATTTCTGGGCAGAAGCTGTCTTAACCCTATTTTTCCCAACCAATCTATCTAAAATCCTTTGCCCTCTGGCATGCAGCCCCTCCCATCTGGGAATCCAGTCTACATTCCACCACAAATAACTTGAAATGACATTGGTATCCTTTGTGCTTAATCTTGTCACTTCACCATATGGAAGAAACAGTAATGGAGAGAGTTGTCTGCAGGGCTTTAGAGTGAAATTAGATAGATTTGTCTGTCTTAGCAAGAAGCACAAGAAAATCAATTTAACGTAATAAGCCAGAAGGACAAACTCCCTGATGAAAAATTGCATTAAAAACCTTCAGCTGTGCAAAGAACTGAATAAACAATTGAATGTGGCAGCAAAACTGGGCAAGGCTGAAGACTGACTAATTGTTTTAAGGTCCAATATGATACTGCATAATTTGAATCAGATCTTTCCTAGGGTCCTTTGACAAGGGAGAGGGAAAATCATTTGCTTTGTTTCGGTCTAGTCTGCCATTTTTGCCATTTTAAAAAGTTTTTTCCTTTTTCAAAAATTGGCTTTGTTGTAATTTCATTTTGGGCGGTTGTTCTAAACCCCACAGAGTCATCAAGAGTTGGGCAACGTACAAATCTGACAAATGGATAAATAGTAAAACCATGCAATTACGACCATCCAGATCTTGTAGAACGTAAACTCCAGCTTGTTTTTTCTGATGGCCAAACACTTCAAGAAACAACACACCACAAATGAACTTAAAGATTTATTGTGCACCTGTCAAAATTAGTTTTACGTGATCAGAAATACTTAATTTGAGATTTCCTGCCCCAGTTCTTAAAGGAAGGTCTGAAATAAAAAATGGAATAGTTAAAAATACAAAGTATTTAGTTTGGAGAACAGAAGATCGTATGGTGAGATGATACTTAACTTCAAGTATCCAAAGGACTCTAGTGTAAGAAGATGAGAGCCAATCAATAAGGTTTTAATTCTGCCATTTTTGATCTAGACAATCAAATCTCTGCTTCATCTCTAAAGAGTAGTATTTCCTTTCTCCCATTCATGTTTTTATCTGCATTAATTCAGTGATTCTAGAAGACTATAAATCAGGGGGATGAGTGCCTTTCTCTACCATTTCTCTCCCCGAGCGGAAATAAATTCTGAAAGGGGAAGAAAGTGCTTCTTGTTTTCTCTTTCTTTTTGACTTCAGATCCATAATTTATCATTACCAAGAGTAATTTAAAAGAATGAGGGCAAAAGGAGTTTTTTGCTTAACAATTAGGCAGTGAAAACATAATGGAATAATCCTTAACTTCAAAAAGAACCTTGTTCATAAATGCAGCGTAGCCCTACATTAAGTTCATCCCCAAAAATCAGAATCTTAAATTGTGAACTTCATTCTCTCTTTCTGCGTATTTATAACCCTCTGTCTATGCCATTTTCAGTGAGTGACTTGCCAGTGCTGGCATACTGAACGTTTATATGAATTAGTCAGATAGATTGTATACTTTTGGGGATGTTAGCCCTTTGATGTAGTCCAGACTAGAAGCACAATGATGAATGCTGTACTAGCTTTATCTTTATTTTAAGGTAATATTTTTTATTCATTCAATTTATGTGTTGCCCATCTCACTATCCAAAGTGACTTTTGCAAGTTTGAAAAGACAGGATGGTTCCACGTGAGACATGGCTAAGTGTGCATGTGCGCACAGCTCCATTGGCATGAGCAGGGGACATGCATGCACACATTTGCATGAAGAGCGTGTGCACTTGGCTGTCACTCATGCAAGTGGAGTTGTGCACATGAGCCTGCGTTCGCCTGTCATTTCCACAGCCTGGTTCTGAAGGACTCAAGGACCCTGATCTTAAACACATTTAAAATAAATTGACAGAGAGATAAGAGTTCAACTTATAATGATAAAGTCATAAGTATACCAAAGTAGCAGTATTTCTTTTATTTTTTACATGGTATGAATTTGAATGACAATGTGTTTTTTCAGTAAAGGTAAAGGTTCCCCTCGCACATATGTACTAGTTGTTCCCTAGGGGGCGATGCTCATCTTTTTTTCAAAGCTGAAGAGCCAGCACTGTCCAAAGATGTCTCTGTGGTAATATGGCAGGCATGAGTAAACCCCGAAGGTGCATGGAATGCTCTTACCTTCCCACTAGAGGTGGGTTGCTGGTGGTTCAGCCCGGTTCGGCCAAACCAGTAGTGGAATTCAGGCTTGGGTCACAGAATTGGCAGTGATCCAAGCCTGCCACGCCTCTGAACCTATTTCCTCGCTGCCGCTTGCCCGCCACCATTTTGGATTTTAGTGACTGTGCATGCGGAGTTCAGTGTAAATTGTTCTACGTATCCGTGAAGAACAATTTATATTGCCCAGCGGGATGTGAACCTTATGGGTTGCAAATTGGCACTAACGCCAGCAGCCACCCACCCCTGCTTCCCACCAAAGATGGTTCCTATTTTTTCTACTTGCATTTTTACATGCTTTTGAACGGCTAGGTTGGCAGAAACTGGGACAAGTAATGGGAGCTCACTCCGTTACGCGGCACTAGGGATTTGAACTGCCGAACCGCCGAGCTTTCTGATTGACAAGCTCAGTGTCTTAGCCACTGAGCCACCATGTCGCTGATTTTTCAGTATGACTCACTAATTGTACCATTAATTAGTAAACAGTTTTATCCGGTTTTAGCTCTAGAGCTATATTTTATTCCATAAGTTGAAATAGCCACTTCTTTTTTCTAAAATTTTCCTGAGTTTTTGACTATCTTACCAGTTTAAATATACTGTATATGCAAACGGATCAGGTATGTCAGAAAGCAGTGACCAAGAAAGATGGAGTCCAGAATTGTAGTTAAAGTAGAAAGTCATATCATCCTGCCAATCTGTTAGAGAAACAAAAAATGAAAAGCAGTTTCGCTTACTGGGGCTAACTCAAAAGAAAGGAACAAACTTTATTAGAACCATTCCAGGACTTCTGGTTTTTTGGTATAATAAATTATTACTGTACTTATGTGTGTCTGAGTGTGTGGCATAAACAAGGCTTAATTATTGACTTTCCCTTTAATTATAGTTTGGACTTTGCAACACAACAGGATCAATGTTAGACTGATAGCCAAATAAAACCCAAATAATGAAATTTGCACTGTGAAATGACCATATCAGCTTCATCCTTCCATACTTGCATTAGGATATTATGTGCAGGTATGCAAGATTGGAATTTGGACCACAGTTTTGTGACATGTTTTGCCATGTGGATGTCTATCTAAATCAGATGGTGTTGAAGTTTTTTTTTATATATGACATCACTCTGGCAACAAAAATGTGTATAGTCAAGACTATTGAAGACTGGTCAGGAAAGAGAGGCATCGGAGTCGCTGAGGTACTTTAACCAGCTTTATTGCAACAGAACACAATCAACAGATTAGGAACAACTTCGGCACTTTGCTCTGCTTGACAGCTATTTATATGGGAGCTGTCAAGCAGAGCAACCAATAGGAACATTGTAAAAAGCTCACTTCCAGTCAGGCGCGTCTTAGCCAATAGGCGCGAGCCTTTGGTTGCCAGGCTGTCAGGCGTAAGTCGAGGACTTGCAGCCAATCATAAGTCAAGACTGGTTGCAAGTCAAGGACTTTACAAAGGCTATGGTTTTCCCAGTTCCAATGTATGGCTGTGAAAGTTGGACCATAAGGAAGGCTGAGCGTTGAAGAATTGAGGTCTTTGAACTATGGTGCTGGAGACGACTCCTGCAAGTCCCTTGGACTGCAAGGCGATCAAACCAGTCACTCCTAGAGGAGATCAACCCTGAATGCTCTCTAGAAGGCCAGATCCTGAAGATGAAACTCAAATACTTTGGCCACTTAATGAGAAGGAAGGACTCACTGGACAAGAGCCTAATGTTGGGAAAGACTGAGGCAAAAGAAGGATGGGACGACAAAGAATGAGGTGGCTGGATGGAGTCACTGAAGCAGTAGGCATGAGCTTAAATAGACTCCAGAGGATGGTAGAAGACAGGAAGGTCTGGAGGTACATTGTCCATAGGGTTGCAATGGGTCGGACACGACTTCACAACTAACAACAACTGTACTCTGGTGCATTTGAAACTATACCAAACTACTACTACTGCTGCTGCTGCTGCTGCTGCTGCTACTACTACTACTACTACTACTACTACTACTATTACTACTACTACTTCCTCCTCCTATATATATAAATTCCTAGAGACTATGGATGGTTTGCAATGATTTAAAACATTTAAAATTAAAATACAGCCTGCCCCCAACAAAACAGCACATAAGAAAAGAACAATGGCAAAGAAAACAAACTCAGAGGGGACTAGAATGGAGAAAAGAGGCATCAACTGTCTCCTCCAAACTATCCTTAAAAATGCCAGCAGGGTGAGAGTTGCTTGAGTTTTGGGAGAACTTCATCCCAGAAGGCATGTGCTGCTATGGAGAAGAGGAGCTTTCAGAATGCCAACAGATGGTACTGTATAATCGATGGAAACGTGAGTATGCCAATGCTCATATTGAACCAAGCAGGCAGATGCTATGGGAGACAGGGGGGGGGGGGATCCCTCAAGTATCTAGGCCAACCAGCGGAGCTTATGAAACAAGGATCAAAATATGTCCATCACTGACTACACCCCTGCATTCTGGGCCCATTCAATTATCTGGATGGTCTTCAAGGGCCATTTCAGGCAGAGAGTGTTGCATAGTCAAGCTATGACAAGGACATGAGTGACTGTCTGAAGCTCTCTCCCCACTTGCATGTAAGAGAGAGTGAAATTGTGGCATTTGATGTGATGTAGTTGGGCAAAAATGGAAAATTTTGAATTTTTTGAAGAAATTCAAAAATTCATTTTTTCCAGTTCCATAATGCTTAAAGGCAATCCATTGGTGGCACTATCACATCACCCTACTTCACAGTTTCCAAGTTTTCTTTGTTCCTTTCTTTCTTCCTTTTCCAACAATGATTTTTGATATCTTTCCTGAGACCGTGTAGAAATATGCTGATTATAATGATCCTTTCCTCTTGCAAAGAAGGTAAGGAGTATTGGGAAAGTTTACTGATAGGCCATTATATACATTTTGCAACCTCTTCTAGGATCAGGCATAGTTTAGGGGATGGGACTGGGACAGTGTTTAAATGTTTTGAATTCTTCAGTTAGCCAGGGTATTCTTTATATGTTTCCCGTGTTTCAGTGCTGGTGGAAATAAAATACTTCATACTATTTTATAAAGGTTTGGAAAGTGAAAAAGCTATTGCTATGGAGGTATCCTGCTCTTTACTTATACAATAAGTAAAGTAGGGATGATGTTAGGTATGGACCCATTGTCTTGTTGATCCTCGAGATTACAGTAATTTTTTATTTCCATATAAAACTATAGAATTTAGCATTACAGCTGCTACTTTGCAGAATTTTAAAAATAGAAGCAGAGGACGACTTCTGAGAACTGCTTCACATTTGTTTATTAGATGATGCAGTACATGAATACGGTGTGAAAGGATCAGAGATTGTAATCTTTGTTTTTTTCTACTACAAAACCATAAGACTCAAGTTTCTACTTCCTGCAAATTAATTGCCTATTAACCCAGTGTGTTCCAAAATGATCTGCCTATAGCAGCTGGTCTTTTTCTATTTTGGTAATAAATAGAGAGACCAAATATTTCTTTAATGACTGGCAGGTGAAACAATCACTTCATAGATTTTCATTTAAACGGTGAGAACATTTGACCTATATTTCTGATAAACTGTGTTCAATATTAGTGTGTTTCTCCCAATTCATTTAACCAGGAACACTTGATATCATTAGAATCAGGGAACCGCCCTGTGATGTTCCCATAATGCTCCAGAATAACTTCCATATTGGAACGGGTTGTATGGAATTTAGTCGTTTCTGTTATCCAAAGAATTTTATTTTATTTATTTTATTCAATTTTATGGCTGTTCATCTTGACAAAGCAACTCTGGGCAGTGAACAACGTTTCAATTTTTAAATAACTTGAGTTTCAAGTTTCAAGCTATATAAATAACCTCAGAAAGCATACAAAGCACAACAAAAACAAGCAAACAAAAGAAATGAAGAGTAAAATCCTCAAAGCAACAACAAACCCCCTGGATTTCATTTACTTCCTGACCTCAGGGCATGGATAAACAGCCAGATCTTAAAGGCCAATGGGGTCAGGGCCATTCTGAATTTGCATGGTGAAGTGTTCCAGAAGGCAAGTGCCATGACAGAAAAGGCACCCACCCGGATCCAAAAAGGTGGCGTTCTTTAACCAATACCCTACCCCCACTCCCATGAGGTCTAATGGGGCAAATAAAGTCAATTGGAGAGAAATTTCAAGGCTTTATAGATGACAATCTGCACCTGAAATTGTAATTAAGGAGAAAATGGGAAGCCTTTGCAGATATTGGCAAATGGCATGGGACTGGGGCATATTCAAATACTGATAAGCATAGATATTCACCTGGTTTTATTTTGCACATGGAAGAGTTGCAGCCAGAACGAACTATAAGAGAAGAGGGGAAAAATATAGATATGAAAAATTGATGACATTTTTCTAATCTTTTAAAATTATGAATGCTTTCCTTGACTTATTTTCACATTGCTCACTTTCTCACCATTGATTGATTATTTGCCATTAATTCATTGATTCTTACCAATCCGACAAACAGATCTGTTCCATGATAATAGCCTAAACTTTCTGGCCTTTGAACAGTGCATCCCTGACTTACTGTAATTAAGTACATCTACCTTGTTGTCATCCTCTCTTCCTCTTTCTTTTTAGCATTGATACTTTCTGTTCTGCTTCTTCCAAGTCTAGCTTTTGCTTCCATAGAGTGCCACAGAGGATGCTATTGCACAATCTTTGTAGGTAGATATTAGGGGTGGCAATCTCGCAGCCTGTGGGCTGGATGCGTCATGTGCTGGCCACACCCACCTCTGTTTTAGCAAAGGGGAAAAAATAGGTGACAGGATGATGATGATGTGACGATACGAGTTTGATAACCCTGGAACAGACAGATCTGAACGTCTTTTCCAAGGTCGTAATTGTTACTTTATCAGGTAGTAATCCATGGTAAATTTTTTGCCTCCTTTTCTGTTTGATCTTAAAAGCTGAAACTATCTGTCACATAGTATTTTCATAATCAATTCTAAGGCTGGCTGTTATCAAGAGTTTGGTTTCTTCATATTTAAAGAAGTCCCATTTGTTCACTGTATTTAGTGGTGGGTTCCTACCGGTTTGGACCGGTTCGGCCGAATCGGTAGTGGCTTGGTGGCTTGGGTCTTTGGAACAAGCAGCGACTTAGGCCTGCCATACCCCTGAACTGGTTCTCATCTTGTTTTTTGCTTCTGTTCACACGCAGAACAATTTTTATTGTACTGCACATGAGTGCGCGGTGCGCCCATGAGCAAATTGGCAGTAGTGACTGCCGGAACCAACCCATGACTGTATTCCTTGATTTTTATCCCTAGAGATTTGAAAGATCATTAGCTTAACATAGCTTTTTACTGGTTCTTCTCTAATTATAAAGCCATACTTATCTTCTTGCAGTCCACCTTCCATAGAAAGATAAATAGATAGATTCAGCATATAGCTGAATATATATAAGGAGAAAGCTTACAGCCATGTCTCTTTTGTAAATCTGGATCCAGACTATTTTCCCATGCCTGGCCATACAATGGCATCTCTAATTGTATATAGTTTTTCATAAGGACCGTAATATATTCTGGGATTCAATTTATAAATAATTAAATTTGGCTATTTTAATCTTTATCATACAGTATATATTTTTTGTAAAATCAGATTTGTTCTATCCAATTTTAACAGTTTGCTGCTGTTTTTTATTTTGCATTTCCATAGGTTTCATAATTGTTATGCATTGTGTTCACATTTGTCCTAATATATACAATTGGTGAGAAATGTCTTCAGATATAAACATTTATGTATTGCATATTATTTACTTGAATAAATCCACCATTTTGTTTAATCCATAATTTTTTTTTACAGAATGTTTGAATCCTGTTGCAGACTCCCACATTTAAATAGTAAATACAAAGATTTTCCTTTTCGTTTCTTAATTAATTTGGGAAGTATGATTTAGATCAGTTCAGATTGAAATGCAGGCAGAGAAAAAGTATCTCTTTGCTACACAAATGTCTTTAGTGGCACAAAGGCTTTCATGCACAGCAGTCTCAGCTCCAATACTAGGAGAGTAGTTGGAGAAACTTTAGCAGGAAAAAGAAGATCCAAGTGATAGGGTTGGCATTTACCTTTTTTGTCTACAAAGCAGCGGTAGGCAGGGACTGTGGAGAAAATAAAAAGAAGTAAGTTGGAAATAACCAGCAGCCACTAGAAGGCACTCATGTCTAATCTTTGGAGAGTATGGGTCAATTAATCACTAAAAGAAAAGCAAGATTGGAACATCAAAAGCAGCTTAAATCTGAAGAATGGAGAGTAACTTGTCCCATGAGCCATCTGGGAGTTATGACTTGCTTAATGAAATTGAGAAATAGTCACAGGAAGACTGAACCCATCATGTCCTGTAGAATGAGGGCTCTATCAATTATCCTACCTGCCATCTTTAGGTTATTTGTACTGAATTCCTAACTCCATCTGTCTTCCTTTAGGACCAGACAATTAGTTATCTCAAAAACGTATTGTGGCTAATATGTTCACAATTTTCAAATATTTTTATTAATGTAATTGCTATATGCATCCTATTGACTATAGCCTACTGAGAAAAGACAGAATTTTAAAAAATAAAATAAAATAACTAGTCACATGGATTTATTTTGCTGGGGAAAGAGTTAGAAAAATGTTTACAGTATACATTTTCTTACAACTGCTCCACTTAAAAAAAGGTCACTTATTGAATAGCCAACTTTGATCCAAATCTTTTTGTTCCTTAATTATTATGCAACATAGTTAAATGATAACTCAGTCTAAACTTTCTTAGGTCAAAAAGATTTTAAATGAATAAAAACTTACCCCCTGTGGACCAAGCAATGGACAAAATGAATAAAAGCTTCCTTAATTCACCTTTGGGAGAAAAATAAATGTTAGGCAACTCTTGCTTGTTTCGGTATGTTGAACTATTAAAACAGTTTTATAATAGGCTGAAAAATAATGTGATAGTTTTGGCAAACTTTTGATCTCAAGCCTTTCCTAACCTAAGGGCCTTCCCAAAGTGGTGACTTTTGTGCCCAGAATTCCCCAGCCAATTTAGCAAATGTTGAAGCTTGGTCCACATATTAGGATAGCGCCCAAATTAAAATTATCCATTCCACATAAGTAGAGTGATCTCCAATTTCCTTTCAAACCAGTATAATACTTCAAAGAATACAGCTCTGAATCCACAGTTGTAAATCATCATCCAGAATCCACAATCAAACCCGTCAGTCCTAGAGGAGATCAACCCTGACTGCTCTTTAGAAGGCTAGATCCTGAAGTTGAAACTCAAATACTTTGGCCACCTAATGAGAAGGAAGGATACACTGGAGAAGAGCCTAATGCTGTGAAAGATTGAGGGCAAAAGAAAAAGGGGACAGCAGAGAATGAGGTGGCTGGATGGAGTCACTGAAGCAGTCGGCGTGAACTTGAGTGGACTCCAGAGGATGGGGGAGGACAGCAAGGCCTGGAGGAACCTTGTCCATGGGGTTGTGATGATTTGGACATGACTTGGCAACTAACAACAACAACAATCCAGAACTACTATCTAAAACAGTGTTTTTCAACCTTTTTTGTGCAAAGGCACACTTTTTTCATGAAAAAAATCACGAGGCACACCACCATTAGAAAATGTTAAAAAAATTTAACTCTGTGCCTATATTGACTATATATAAAGTAATTTTCCCACGGCACACCTTACACTATGTCACGGCACACTAGTGTGCCGCGGCACAGTGGTTGAAAAACACTGATCTAAAATACCAGTGACGAAAGCAAAATAAAGCAAGTTCCTCAATTACAATACCCAAAATCAGAGAGGTGAGGTGCTGTGTTCTGCTTAAATAGCAGTAGACTTATAGCAATAGCAGTAGACTTATATACCGCTTCATAGGCCTTTCAGGCCTCCCTAAGCGGTTTACAGAGAGTCAGCATATTGCCCCCAACAATCTGGGTCCTCATTTTACCCACCTCGGAAGGATGGAAGGCTGAGTCAACCCTGAGCCGGTGAGATTTGAACCGCTGACCTGCTGATCTAGCAGTAGCCTGCAGTGCTGCATTTAACCACTGCGCCACCTTGGCTCTTGGTAAAGGTTTACCATTCCACTTGTTCTTTGTACTTGCCTGGCATCCACAAAGTAATATATAGAAACAAATTTCTGACACTTGTATATACAGTCACTACAGTCTCCACTCCTTTCCTTATAGTTTTGGTTTGTTGATTTGTCAGGTGTTACCACGAAGTCTCCCTCATTTGCATAATGTTATTACATAAGTAGGCAAATAAGGCTATGGAGAAAATAAATGTAAATTCAAGAGAAGACCCGGGCGATTTCTGCTTAGATTGGTAATCTTATTTGCCTGTCTCATCTAAAACGAATGTCTGGCCTTCTCGCCACTACTCTAAAGGGCACCAGTCATAGTGAATACAGATATTTGTTTAATGCTCCACTGCCATATTGGAATATTATTTCTTATTAGCTTACTCCAAGGAAGCATCTGTTATCTTTCAAAGTTAAACAGTGGGCTGAATAATGGGCTGGATGAAAGTTAATAAGATTAAACCGCAGTCAGAGGACAGTCTGGCTCAAGAATTGAGATTTGATTTATATTGGAAATATTAGTTCATAGTTAAAGAAAATTCCTTGACCTTGTCCTTCAATTTTGATATGGTAGCAAGAATAAAATATATACTTATACAAGTAGGTTGCAATTAGTGCAATTTCAAATAATGCAATATTAGCACAGTTTATAAATTGATACGAGGCCATATTTAATGCAATCTAAAGTCAGTTAATGTGAAGGTAGTATATGCACAATTGAGGCCAATCACAGGTGTACTTGCGGTGCTGGTCTTTGTGAGTGCAAAATGAAGAAATGGAAGATTCACCAAAGGAAAACAGTACAAAAAATAAAGAGTTTCATTATTGCATTAGAGCAAAATGTGATGTAAGTAAAGGTAAAAGTTCCCCTCGCACATATGTGCTAGTCATTCCTGACTCTAGGGAGTGGTGCTCATCTCCATGTCAAAGCCGAAAAACCAGCGCTATCCGAAGACGTCTCTGTGGTCATGTGGCCGGCATGACTAAATGCCGAAGGCGCACGGAACGTTGTTACCGTCCCACCAAAAGTGGTCTCTATTTTTTTACTTTCATTTATTTAACGTACTTTCGAACTGCTAGGTTGGCAGGAGCTGGGACAAATAACGGGAGCTCATTCAGTTACACGACACTAGGGATTCGAACTGCCGAACTGCCAACCTTTCTGATTGACAAGCTCAGCGTCTTAGCCACTGAGCCATCCTTTTGATGTAATTAAATACTGCTAAAATAGGACAAGACATTGGAACATTTGCAGTGCTATATTAATTTTTATGTCTTTATTTTGGTTTCTGTAACTTTTTATGTGACTTTTTAAACCCATACATTTAAATCATAAGTATATTCTTTTTTTCCTTTACTGTAATGTTTCATTAATATATATATAGATCTTCAAAAATTTTCATGAATACAGTAGTAATACAGGTTGGCTGCTCTGAACCAATCTTACCCACAGTTATGTATATCCTGCTTATGTCATACCTAAGCTAAGATCACAGGAAAGATCCAGCTTATTTAAAATAAAGCATCATTTACTGTTCAAGGTACTGATTTTAGCTATGGAACTGGCTGCTTTATGATACCTGACTTCTCTTTAAAATGTTAAGAGCCCTTTTGGAAACACTGCCATTTGCAATGATTCTTGGGATGTTGTATTAATTATAAAACATATTCCTCGGGAAATTACAATTAACATGTGCTGTCCCTGCTTTCTGAAAGGTAACCCAGAGCATATTTTTAGTTGGCCTCATTTACTCACTTATGCTTTGATAATTGTTTAATTGTGTTGTATATTCCTTGACAGTCCCGCACAAGGCAACATACAAATACTGTAGATAATTAAATAATTACTAGGTACTAGTTAAAAGAGAGAAATCCACACATTAATCATTTTTAAACAACACAAAGCCTAGCATTTGTGCTGGAGAAACCAGTTTAAACCATTTTCCAGGAGGAAACAGTAACAGCCACAAGCAATAAGTAGCAAATATCTAAAACCATATGAAGCATAATTCCACATTCCACACTCAAAGCATAATTAAAATAATAATTTAAAACAGTAAAAATTCAAAGTCCTGGAATACACACTGGACAATGCATGGACAATGTATATATTGTTTGTTTTTATTTATTCTTACCTTGGAATTTGAGAAGATGATTCAACTCCATTCTGGAAAAAAAGAGGTCCAAACATTTATTTCAAATAATACCTGCACAAAACACTTCAATCAGTTATCACACATAGTTTATGATAATAAACTCTTTTGGTTTTGAGTTATCAATTTTTTGATTATTTTCATTTCCCTCTGCTTAGAGCAGTTTTAAATGAAAATAGCATTAAATAACTTTTGCTTAAGAAAAAAATTAACAAAGGCCAATAAGACTAAGGAGGGAGGTGAATTCAGATACCAATTACAGCTCTTTGAAAAGTACAACTTCTAACCTCCCACAAGAAACTTTTCCCCATCTGCTGTGTCAACCAGATAGATTTAAATTACTTTGTAAAAATAGCTTATCATTTAAGAATTAGCATATTATCTAAACCACAAATCAAGTGTACTTTAACTCTATAATTTTCAAACTGCCACCTAAAAAATTCCATGCCATGCAATGAAAAGCTTTCCAAAAATTGTATGTCCACTTATTACTGCACTATCTAGTTTTAACAATAGAAAGTCAAATGGCATATTGCTTGGCACAATTTTGGGTTAGATATGTATTCCTCCAAATATTGGACATCAATCATACTATTACTTTTTGGGGAAGAAAAATTATACAAAGAGAAGACAAAGAATGGGGCAGCCCTTGAAGAGTGTTCGGAGACTCCAGCTTGTCCAGAATGCAGCCGCGTGAGCGATTGTGGGTGCACCCCGGTACACCCACGTTACACCTATCCTCCGCGAGCTGCACTGGCTACCCATTGGTCTCCAGATACGCTTCAGGTGATAGTTATTGCTTATATAGCCCTACATGGTATTGGACCTGGGTACTTGAGAGACCGCCTTCTGCTGATTACCTCCCACAGATTAGGCCTCCTCCGTATTCCATCTGCCAGCCAATGTCGGCTGCCAACTACTCGGAGGAGGGCCTTCTCTGTGGCTGCCCCGGCCCTTTGGAACGAGCTCCCCATGGAGATTCGGACCCTCTCCACCCTTTAGGCCTTCCGGACGGCCGTGAAGACCTGGCTGTCCCAGCAAGCCTGGGGTTGAGTTCCCCCCCCTACTCGAATTTGCTGTGTCTGTTGTGCTTTTAAATTGTTCGTATTGTCTGATTGTCTTTGTCTTACTTTTTGTAATTTCCCCTCCCTTGGCTTTGTTCAGCCGCCCTGAGTCCCTTCGGGGAATAGGGCGGCCTACAAATTGAATAAACTCCAAACTCCAAACTCCAAACTCCAAGAATGGAAATAATGCACAAAAGAAATCAGAAGTGGGAGGTAAGGAAATTTGGATGTAATTGACTGTACATGTTTCATTATGCCACTGTGTATCTCTCCATTCTTGCAGACAGAATACCGAATAATAGAATTGGAAGGGATCTTGGAGATCTTCTAGTCTAAACCCCTGTTCAAACCACTATATCATTTTGGACAAGTTGGCTAACCAGTCTCTTTTAAAAAGCCTCCAGTGATGAAGCACTTACAAATGACTTAGTTAAATGGGGACAGATAACAGAAGAACCCACAATTTTGCCTTAGTTCTAGGTTGCTTCTCTCCTTGATTAGTTTCCATCCATTTTTCCTTGTCTTGCCTTTGGAAAATAGGTTGACCTCCACTGTTCTTTGTGACAACCCCTCAAATAATTGGAATACTGCTATCATGTCACCCCTAGTTCTTCTTTTCTGCAGATTAGCCATACCCAATTCCTACAACCATTCTTCATATGTTGTAGACTTCAGGCCCCTAGTCATCTTTGTTGCTGTTGTCTGCACTCTTTCCAAAATCTCGTCATCCTTTTCATAATGTGGCGACCAAAACTGGATCTTGCTTTTCCCATATCCATATTTTGATCCATACATTAACTTTTTTCTTTAAACTGCTAACCTCTCTGGGCATCTCACTAATTTAGTTCAGTTGTGACATTTTTAGCCTTTCTATTCCTTCCAACTGCTCCTTCATATTGGACTCTCATTCAATCACCCAACCATCTGCATACACTCCTTTATACTGATCACTCACTTTGGTTCTCAGTCCACGTTATTTCATTACTCTTTGTTCTTGACACTCTGTTTCCATTCTTATAGCATTCCACTAGTGTGTATGCTTCCCTTGAAGTGCCCAAGAGTCACATCCATATAACAAATTTGATAGAAACTTACAGTGACATTTGTAGCAAATCATGACATGACCTGAGTGTGATGGCATCCTGGTGCAAATACTATGTCTAAGGCAAACATGACCATTGTGGCATTTGCACCGGGACATAATTGTGCATATGTTTGTCATTTCTCTCCTTATCTCCCTTTGGAGATCTATGCTAAGCATGCATTTATTCATTTCTATTTTTGCTTCTTTTAACAGTTATTCATTACTAACAACACACGTATACTATCCACTACCCCTTTTTTCAGTATTTGAACATCTTAATTTTATATCTTTAGTAAACATACTGCTAAGGTTTACAAATTTATTTTTCTGTTTCATTTTTTAAAATTATGCATAATATGCAAGCACTAACTAAATTAGACCTATCAAGCACACTATCTTGGTTTTAAATATATTAATTTTCTAATCCATGCTGCAACATATATATTCACTGTAAATGATTTTGGTTCTAAGCCAGTAATATGGAAATGTTTCTCACAAAACTACATAGCTAAATATGTTAACATGTTAACTAGCCAGCCTCTACGATGAGCATTCCTTATACATTTATCCATAAATACATTAATAAAACCAAAGGATATCATGCAATCGTGTCTTACTCACTGATAAAAAATGAAATATTCATGTTTTATTTCCATCATATATCACTCTTTTCACATTTCCAACTTTAATTTCTGTATTTGTGCAAACCAAACCATATCTATACATTCCATTGTAACAGTGTCTAGATAACCAGAAGGCAACTGGCTGGGAGACATTAGCTTAGATGAATGTCTTTTATCTCAAATAGTTATAAAGTTGAGATCAACTTGTATATAATATGAAATAGCAGAACTACTCAAATGGAATTTATTGAGGAATTCAGACAAAATATACACTGAAAAATATCTAATAGTTTCAATAATAATTTCTATTATTTTTTTCTCCATATTAATCTGGGAGCATTATTTCTATTTTGGAAGCAAGTGAGAAAAATTGTGGCTTGGAAGGAGCCAGCATGGGTTTATTAACAAGTCCTGTCAAATCAAGCTGAACCAATCTCCTTTTTTGATAGAGTAACCAGTTTAGTTCACCATAATACAAAATACCTCCATACAATGAGCATATATATTTTGCAAAATATTGGACAAAATAATCTATCTTGTCTTAATGGAAAGAGTGGCAAGTTATGTACTGGACTATGGAACAACCAGATTGTTAAATATGGTTGAGCTACTGTACACAATGAATTTATGCCAATAGCTCCATGTTGTGATGTAGGACATTGTTGAGTAGCAATGTAGGGCTTTATTCTAGGCAGTATACTGTTCAATATTGATAGAAGAGAATATTTGTAGCTCAGGGTTGTATCGTGGGGTCCTTGGCACTCTTGAATTTGGTGGTTTTTCAATATATTCATAAATGTATTGGATAACAAGTTAGAATATAATATTTTTGCATTTGCAGAAGATAGACACAAAAATAGATTTTGTAAGCCAGCAAGAGTCACTGATTGGTGCAGCATGCACATTTGATGAAAACAAACAAATAAATGAGATAACAAATATCTTAGAAAACAGCATCACGATTCAGGTGAATCTTGACAAGCTGGAACAATGTACAAGAAACTATAAGATGAATTTCAAAATACTTTGGCCAGAACAAAGATGCATTGACCAACATATTTCAAGATGACTGGCTTCAGCAAATGCTATGGGATGGAGCTCCCTTGGGCAAATGTTCTAGGCTGGATTAATATTATGGGTAATCATGGAGCCACATGATTTGAAGCATGTTGGTCAACTCTGGGGACAAAGATTCAGTCTTCTCCCGTAACAGTGGATTGCAAAAAGTTCAAGCTGCCACATTTGGTGAAGTGAATAAAGTCACCTCCAGTAGCTCAAATGAATTTGGTGAGTCTAATTTTAGAGACTATGCATTGACTTGTTTATTATAACTGTCTTTTGTCAGACAAAGAAAGAGGGTTTTTTAAAATCCACAATCTCATTTAAGATTGAATTAGAATAAGTCTTTAAATCAACGAAGACAGCATGTTGAAAATTCCCATGTACTTTTTACAAAAATGATTTGGATTGATCAACCTCAATCTGAAACATACAGCTTGGATTTAATTAACTGGCAAAAAGCTTACCAGTTATTGTTATCACATTAATTAACTTTTAAACTTGTATTAGGACAGCTTCAACTCATGATGAAGGAAGTTGAACAATCTAATGAGTTTCAGAAGTCTCAATATTACTGTGTTTAAACCTGGTGTTTCCTGGTTTTGAAAGGAGGAATCAATTAATTTCAAGAAAAGTTACATAAGATTATTTAGAAGATTCTTTTCTATTACCAGAAAATGTGGATCATCTTTACATTTCACAGAATCTTGAGAAATAGTAGCAACAAAAATTCATACTTCTCAAATATTGGTATGAATATTACAATCAATTCATCCAATATTATCTTAGGAACAATTTAAGACTGACCAAAATTAATTCTATTTAACATGTAGACAGATTAATTAAAGCAGTTCTTTGTTTTCATATAGCCTGTATCCTTTTGTAGTTGTACAAAGATTTAGACTGATTTTTAAGTTAATATCATTGAGGAAACAGAATTATCTTTTTTATTTTGCTGGTATGAATTAATTCTATGTTCCTCCCTTGCTTCGAGAGCAACTGGTATATCTGTGGAGAATCTCAGTTATCCAGGTCATAGTTGTCTCAAAGTGCTTTTTCAAAAGGCAACTAGACTGTTTGTTTTCCTGGAGGAGGATGTTTCACTTTTTGTCCAGGAAGCCTCAACTATCCACATTCTGGAAAGAGAGTCCACATTCTGGATGAAGTCCACATTCTGAATAGAG